CATACAGAACAGCGCACGTGAGTAGGCTATATCTTTAGCTTGCATGTCCGATCAGACATATTATTTCTCTGTTTAGATTATTAACAATTAATAATTTCCACAGCTGACAAACGTTTGGATTGCACACTGTTTAATCGTTTAGCTAATTTTAATGAATGTCATTCAACAGTCCAGTTTCAGACTGTAACATCTATGTGTTGTCATTAGCAATGAACATTAACAATCGAGCCAGAATTCTATTCATCAAAAACAAGAAATTCCTTAGTAGCCTTGCTTCTAGACTGTGTAATTACCGAACTACACATAGTGTTTCGATTTTCAAGGTATGAGTACCAAATGAGTATCGGTTGAACTAATTAAAAGCACGCTGTCTTTCTTCCAATACAGATGATCCCGAGGAAAGAAACAACACCGCCGATCTTTATCCAGAGATAGTACAAGCATTACGTACACGGTTGGATGAATACCGTGAGGATTTAGTCCCGCCGATAGACGATACACCTGACCTAGCTGGTCTTCCGTCGAACTTTGACGGTGTATGGTCACCTGGATGGTGCTAAAACTGTTATTATCAAATTTGAAATCAAATTTATGTGATTATTGCACGATTGGCTACGAACAATACAGCAGATTATTTTACTTACTTGGACAAAATACCAAATTTTGAAACATTTCACCTAAAATAAATTAATATATATCAAGTAAATCTCATCAGCAATACTCATTTACTCTAAGGTTAATCATAACAATTTAAATCTTCTATTGCTTAAATGTATTTCTTAATTATATGCATTTAAAAGGGCATACCATTGAACCATATCATTACATATATCGTTACGGTTCTAATTATATAACTTTAATTTTTAACGTGTATACGTAATTTGTGTGTTGACATATCCCTGAATCTTGTTTGAGACGGTCACGTTAAAGTAATATTTGTTACAGCCAATCATATATTGGGTTTGTTAAAAATAAATATAAATAATTTCTGCAGTGAAAATCAGTGTAAAGTGTTTTTCTTACATAACACATATTCATTTCGCAAACATGTGTAACAAATATATAATAATATGAAAGCCTGTCTAATTCACAGTGTAGCTGCAAGTATGAGAACTATATCTATTTGATTAAGTAAATGTGTGAAAAGATAAAAACATAATTAATGGATTCACGTAACCAGGTAATAGTTTTCGCATTTTCTCATATGTGAGCACAGAAATCTGTCAGTAGCAAGTATACATAATTATATTATACCAGTATATTTGTGGTGTTAATCCATCGATTTGATTGGTCCAAGCACAAACAAACACATTGTAAGGCAATGCACACAAAAAGGCGACACGGGGGTAAATAATAGGAAAGACTTATCCTACCAGCTACAGCATCGGCTGCCACGCAGGTGACAGCTAGTCAGACCAAAAAGTTGGACAGGAAAACAATCTAGATGACAGATCGAACCGGTTATATCTATTCGCACTGAACGCGGAGAAAAAACAGAGTGGCAAGAGAGGCAATATGGCTACGCCTCATTACCTCGGACACATGGTTAGTGACGTGAAGGAAAATCTTGAGGTCATCGGGCTACAATATTACAAGATTGGTTTTATTGTCGATGACGCTGAAGCTCTAAGACATCATACAGGCAATTTATAAAGATTAGAATTGACTACCAAAAACCATACATACCTGCTAGACTTTGTGGCTTGCTTCACTTCCCGAGCTAATGCTGCTTTCAAAGACAGCAACTCTGTCTGCACAATCAGCTAGTGCATATATGCATATACAACATATTATCTAGAAATATACAACAATCAGATATTTTGACACATACAACAAGACATTCACACTTAGTAGTGCAATAAAACCGTGATGTTATTAACGCATCACAATAAAAAATGAGATGATGGGTATAGTTTCAGCATTCAGCATCAATGGAGTTGAAAGCCAAGTTCACAAAATAAGCACACAACCACAAGATCACAACACACAGAAGCATTTTCTAAATTTACATTGCGCGATGTTATCGTGGTTGAGATGTTATTGAGATGTTATCTCAATCATTGTTGGCTATAAGAGAAAAGTTATAACCGACAAACAGGCAGCATGCGATGCAACAATACACAATCAAGACAAAAAAGCAACGAGAATAAAAAAACAGTCAAAGGTATTTTATAAGAAATGATGTACAATGATAGATGAGAGATAACCGAAATATTTATGCGCACTAATTGAAGGTATATAAATACTCCACTTATATAATTATAA